TGGGTCTCGTAAAAGACCAACGAATTGTTGTCCTTTACCCATCAGAATTGACTTCGGCCAAGGAGGAAGTGCCGCCACCACTTGAGCGTGTGGACGAAGGTGAGGAGCTCCCTCTTGCGTGCATCATTAATGGAGTGCACGACGGGCACTTTCTTGCTGAAATACTCGACCGGGTGCCARTCCACGCCATCGTGTTGCTCGAGGACGGCCCCAATGCCATAGCCGGACCCATCCGTAGTGACACGCGTTGGCAATAGCGGGTCGTATATGCGCAAGACCTCCGCATATAATAGCGCGACTTTGAGAGCCAAAAATGATTCCCACTCATCCTCCCCGAAGTCAAACGGTTGATCCTCGTATTGAAGCTTGGTCAAGTGGGCCACGATCTTCGAGTATCCCTTGATAAAACGTTGGTAGTAGCCGGCAAGGCCAAGGAACGAACGGACATCCTCCGGCCACTCTTGGATGGCTTGAATCTTGTCCGACAATGGACTGATACCCTCCGGTGTGACAAAATGGCCCAAGTATTCCAACTCTTGCCAAACAAATTCGCACTTGTCACGGTTGGCTTTGTACTTGGCGCGGCGGAGTGTCTCCAACACTCGTCGGAGGTGCTCAAGATGATCCTCCAATGACCGACTATAGACGAGAATGTCATCTACGTAGGCGGAGTGTCTCCAGCACGAACCGGTCCAACATCGCACGAACTCGTTGGTCATTGCTGCTTGAAATGTCGTCAGGGCGTTGGTGAGGCCAAAAGGCATGACCACCCACTCAAAATGCCCATACCGCGTTTTGAACGCGGATTTATAGCGATTGTTCGACCGGATCAAAATTTGATGGTATCCCGACTTCAAATCCAACTTAGAGAAGTACTTTGTGTCGCCCAATCGCTCAAGAAGATCATCGATACGAGGAGGAGGCCCCGCATTCTTGACAGTTTGCGCTTTGAGCTTGCGGTAGTCGATGCACAATCGTAGATCCTTGCTCTTCTTCTGTACGAAGAGAGCTGGCGCTCCATATGGAGAGCTACTAGGGCGGATCCAGCCCTTGTCCAACAAGTCATCGAGTTGCGCGTGGAGGACTATAAGCTCCTCCTCGCTCATGCGGTAAATGCAACCTTTACGTCGGCACAACACCGGCCTGAAGAATGATCTCGTGAGAGATCGGCCGATCCGGTACCACACCGGTAGGTGACTCGAAGCTGTCGATGAACTCGTCAAGCAACCGCACCACACGGGCTCCGAAGACAAGTCCGTGGGTCAAGAGTCGGCTACCTCGACGGTCCGTAGGAAACATAGGCCGATTTCGTCGGGCTGCTCATAAGCACACGTAGCCCAGAATGACTTGGCCGTCACCACTTGGCATCGGATCGAAGGGTGTGGAAGAGGAATAGCACTCGGTACTTCGACACCGAAATCGTCGCGAACGGTAAAAGTCCGCCGGTGGAAGTTGACCGTGTGATCCGTACTTGCAAGCCAAGGCATTGAACGTCACCGGTTCGCATGCATGAGGTGCG